GGGAAGATACCCAGCAGGGGAATAGCTGGGTCAAATGGGACCTCTAATCCTAGTTCTTTGAGGTATCTCCATAGTGCTTTCCACAGTGGTTGAACCAGTCTACACTCCCACCAGCAGTGGAGCAGGGTTCCTCTTTCCCCCATGGCCCCACCAGCATTTGTTATTGGTCAGTTTCATGATAGCAGCTATTCTTTCTGTGGAGAGATGGAATATCAGCGTTGTTTTCATTTGTATCTCTCGAAGGATGGTGAACATTTATTTCCTATGTTTATTGGCAGTTTCTACTTCTTTGTCTGAGAAATGTCTGTTCATTTCAAATGGGTTTCAACTTCCCAAAGATTAAAACTAAACCTATATCTCTCACCATGTATTAAACTAAAATCAAAATGGATTAAAGATCTAAATATTAAAACAGAAACACTAAATTGGCTGAAAGAGAGTTTAGGTAGAACTCTTGAATACATTCGTGTGCATTTGATGTTTATTTAAGGTTATATCAGACTCGGGCTGGTTGGTGGGGGCCCAAAATCCCAGTACTCTGAAGTGCAGAGGCTGGAACTTAGCAAGACCCTGTCTCACAATAAGAAAAAAAAACAAACAAAGAACCCAAAAGTGTTGTTCATGTAACTCTGTATAAAGGCCCTGGATTTAATCCATTGTACCACAAAAACTCATATCAATTTATTAATTATTTATGTGTGTACATTATTCACAAATGGAAAGAATATAATGATAATTATTTTTAAATTTCACTTGTCTCTGGTCTTGGGAGGAAGTAGCTTGAGATATCTAAATCAGCAATGTTCAAGACAAACTGTGAGACAAAGTGTAGTTTTTAATTTATTACTGTTTACATTTTAAAACATCATCAAGGCAGGCATGGTGGTGCATACCTGTAATCCCAGCGCTGTGAGATCCTGAAGCAGAAGAATCACAGGTTCCAGCTTGGCCTGGGCAACCTAGTGACTCAGTGAAAGTCTGTCTTAAAAATAAAAGAGACTACGGGTGTAACTCAGTGTGAAGTTTGTATGTTCAATACCCAGTACATACAGAAATATTAAGAGAGAGTTGAAAGTGTTAGCTGGTTTTGGGGTGGTGGAGTCTCCTTCTGGAAGTGGTTTCTAGATTCTTTCCATCTCAAACAAAGAATTGAGCAAAACAAGCAGAAACAGTGGCAAAGTTTCACATTTATTTGAGGTAGGAAAAATTAAAAATGAAGGGTAAGGGAGAAACCAGCTTTGAAGAGAGAGTCTGGGCCAGGTAAAAATAAAATAAATAGGAAAAATAATAGTACATCCTAGACAATGTAGGGTGGGCTAATGTGGGGTGGCATGTTAGTGAGTTCTTCATGCTCTCTTGTCTCCTTTAACTTATTCCACACATGGTGCATTCTCAGGAGAAGTCCACATATGGGTGCTGAGTATTGTTTTGTGCATGTGTCTTGCAATATGATCATGCCTCCTTTCCCAGCCAGTCTAAGCTGCCCCTATCTTCCTATCTCAAAAGTGATTGTAATAACCTCACAGATCCAAAATATTACTATTGTAATTGATGTAATTAATATAAAATTATTACTGAAGTGTATATTTTTGGTACTACATCTCCAAAATTTACTATTAACCCTCAGTACGTACATGTTTAGAGTCACCATGTTCCAACATCATGTGCTATGATTCCTCCGACCTTAGTGAGGTGAAGGGCCTGAACCCTTCTCTTTTTTGCCACAGACAGGGGAACACACTGCCGTACCAATATTTCTCCTCAGCTCAAAGAGAGGTGGAGACAGTATCCTGAGAGAGACCCAGGAGCTCCAACCAGGATGTGTCCCAGGGGTAGACCACAGATTCCAAACTGCTGCTGGGCACAGGGCCATCCCTTTTCTGGAGTTCAAACAATTAAACAACAGCAAATGGAGTAGGGAGCCTCATGTCTGTAGGTATGCCCATAGCCTTGACCTCCAGATTTAAGGTAAACTGCTTCCTTTGTGTTTGGCCTTGAACATAATTGGTCAGGCTGTGGACACTTGTTTCTTCTTGTGGTGTGCTAGACTGTGTGAAATTAAGCACCAATCATATGAATACTCATCCATGTGTATTTCTGTGTAACTAAATAACATCCAACAAACTAGAGGAAAAGGAACCCAATACCTGTGAGGCACCTACTGTTTTCCAGGTAACTGGCTATCAACATGTCATTGAATCCTGGCATCCTGCCTGAAATGGGTATGTTAGCTATTTGTCATTGGGTAACAACCCATCCAAGTTTTATTAGCTCATTAATGAGCCAGTGAGCAATTTAGGCTGGGCTCCCTTGGGCTTTTTATGCATGTGGTTAGCTGATGACAGGCAAAGAACTCAGCTTCAGAGGGTGAGCTGGCTGTCAACCAGGGTTCCTTGATTCTCTTCCCAATGATAACTTATCCTCCAGAAGGCTGTTCTGGGTTTATTTTCGCAGAAATAGCAGGGATTTGAAAGAAAGAAAAATAAATTCAGGACCCTTCAACATCTGCATTCTCAAAGCAAACTGATAAACCCTTCCCAAGTTTTTAAACAGGTGGTAAAAATATCTGTGACAAATAAAGCCACATATTCATTAAATTGGAAAGAGAACATTTTATACAGTACTATAATAATGCACTCAGAGAAGTGTGTAAACTCATTTCCTTTTGTAGAAATAACTTAGTATTTTAGAAACTATAAATGAAAAATCATCTGTCACTAGCCTAAGGACAATATCATAGGAGTAGAGCTAGGGATTTAGCCCAGTGTTTCCGCTGCGTGCCTCACAAGTGCAAGGTCCAGAGTTCAATCCCCGGTACCCCCCAAAAAATATATATATATATGTATATATAGGAGTAGGAGGAATAACTGAGGGTGAAGACAAAGCAGTTTCGAGAGAGTCTATGATCCCAAACATGAGAAGGAAAAGGTGGTGCACAGGCAATGAATGGCTGCTGAGAGGTCCTAATGCAAGACCAATTTCTGCCATCCAGCCTTATGCAAACTACATATGAGTGTCCAAAGCAGGAGGGAACCTAAAAGGACTCCTGAAGAAGGCCACGGTGAACAGGGTTGGAAGAAAGAACTCTGGAATTAGGAAAATGGAAAGCTCCAATTATCCTGAGAACAAGCACAATTATTGTACATATGAATTGGGCCTAGTTGTCCATGCTCTCTCAGGTACCTGAGTCTCTTCTATCGTTTACTTCATTTGTCAAATTTTATTCATGGTAATTTCACTCCTGACAATTCTATTTGAATAATGTAAATGGGCATACGTGTACTGAGATTCCAGGCCTACATTTTTAGAGTAGGGAGCAACTGTAGAGCAGGTTACACAAAAGAACAGCAAACAAACAGGCACAGGAAGAAATGAAACTTATTAAGACTAGTATGTCCTCTTCTAACAGACAGATGTTTGTGATGTTAATTATAGTTAAGATCCTACTTGCTGAAGACATTTCATAGGTAAGAAGAGTAAGTGAATGAGATAGTTTTACAGATATTTTTAGAATTTAGCTCATGGTAAGGAATACATTTTATATTACATCCCAATATATAATCACACACTCTTGAAAAACAAAAAGTAGGGCCAGGGATTTAGCTCAGTGGCACCATGCCTGCCTCGCAAGCACAGGGTCCTGAGTTCGACACCTGGTACCAAAAAAAGGTAAAGGAAACTTTACAAGTGTGATACTCTCTGATGTATTATTTTACATTAGGTTCTATTTTGATTATAGAAAATTCACCAAGTTCCTCAGAATTAACTCTGCCTGCAACTTTAAAATTATTGAGTCAGAAGAACAATAAATTTAATGGTCAAGCACCACATCTTTCCCTTCCACTTCCACCTGCCTGGGTACTTGATGGCAAACTCCCTTTCAGGCCATTTTCTCCTCTCAGTGCATTGAGATGGGCAGTGTGACATTTTTGTTTGAGATATAGAAGTTTACTACTCGAATATCTCACGCTTTGCTTTCCAAACAGATCCTAGGGCTCCCGTGTCAAAGTGTATACATTCTGGCCTGGGACTGACCTTTCCAAATTTTCATTTGACTCCTTTGAGGATTTTATTCTGAGTCCAATCTTATTTAGAAGCCCTGAAATTAGCCTCTGTGTTATGCTTCAAATTTTCTGTTAATATTGTGTTAATGCCGGCTGCTGATATGATATCATCTCATAGTTTATCTGACATTTTTACTTAACTTCTTGTATAGCATTTGCTCAAGAAAAGGTGA